AAAGAGGCCCACACCAAGACACATCATAATTAAAATGTCCAGATTTAAAGATAAAGAGAGAATCCTACAGGCCGCAAGATAAAGACAACACGTTGCATACAAAGGAAACCCCATGAGGCTATCACCTGACTTTTCAGCAGAAACCTTACAGGCTAGAAGAGAGTGCTATGATATATTTAAAGTGCTAAAAGGAAAAACCTACAGCCAAGAATACTCTAGCTGACAAGGTTATCATTCAGAATTGAAGGAGAGATAAAGATTTTCCCAGACAAGTAAAAATTAAAGGAGTTTATCACCAAGAAGACAGTCCTACAAGAAAATCAAAAGGGACTAATTTCAGAGGGAAAGAGAAGACCACAAACAGGAAAAATTATCTATTTCCATGATAAGAAGGCAATGGATACAAACGCAAAAAAAAAAGTTAGATATTATATCAAAAACATAAAACATAGGATGAGGGGAGTAAAAGAGTAGAGCATTCAGATAGAGGTCAAAATAAGAGACCATCAACATAATACAGATTGCTAGATATGTAGGTTACTATATAGGAACCCCATGGTAATCACAAACCAGAAACATATAACAAACACACAAAAAACTAAGAGAAAGGAACCCAGACATAATACTAAAGAAAGCCATCAAACCACAAGGGAAGAGAGAAAGAGAAGAAGAAAGCAACAGAGAAGAACTACTAAAACGCCAAGAAAAAAAGTTAAAAATGGGAGTAAATACATACTTATAAATAGCTACGTTAAACATCAAGACTAAATTCTCCAAATAAAAGTCATAGGGTGGCTGATTGGATAAGAAAATAAGACCCATATATATGCTGCATACAAGAGACACACCTCAGACCTAAATACACTCACACCCTGAAAGTGAAGGGATGGAAAAAGATACTCCATGCAAATGGCAATGAAAAGAAAGCTGGGGTAGCAATACTCATATTAGACAAAATTGACTTTAAAGCAAAAACTGTAACAAGAGACAAGGGCACTACATAATGATCAAGGGAACAATCCAAGAAGAGGATATAACACTTGTAAATATCTATGCACCCAACGTAGGAGCACCTAAACATATAAAGCAAATATTAAGAGATGTAAAAGGAGAAAGACAGTAACACAATAATAGTAGTGGAATTTAATACTCTGCTTACACCAATGGATACATCATCCAAACAGAAGATCAATAAGGAAACATTGGCCTTAAACGACACACTAGAACAGACGAACTCAATAGATATATACAGAACATTCCATCCAAAAACTGAAGAATACACATTCTTTTCAAATTCACATGGAACATTCTCCAGGATTGAGCACATATTAGACCACAAAACAAGTCTCCATAAATTCACGATGATTGAAATAATATCATGCAGGTTTTCTGACCATGACAGTATGAAACTAGAAATCAACTACAGGAAGAAAATGAAAAAAGCCACAAATATGTGGAGATTAAACGAAATGCTACTGAACAATGATTGGGTCAATGAGGAAATCAAAGGAGAAATCAAAAAGTACCTGGAGACAAATGAAAATGAAAATACAACATGCCAGAATTTATGGGATCCAGCTAAAGCAGTCCTAAGAGGCAAGTTTATAGCAATGCAGGCCTATCTCAACAAACAAGAAAAATCTCAAATAAACAATCTAACAGTGCACCTAAAGGAAGTGGAAAAAGAAGAACAAACAATGCCCAGAACCAGTAGATGAAGGGAAATAATAAAAATCAGAGCAGAAATAAATGAAATAGAGACTAAAGAAACAATGGAAAAAATTAATGAAACCAAGAGCTGGTTCTTTGCAAAGGGAAACAAAATTGACAAACCTTTTAGTTAGACTCAAAACAAAAAAGGCAGAAGGCCAAAATAAGTAAAACAAGAAATTAAAGAGGAGAAATTATAACAGACACCTCAGAAATACAAAAGATTATAAGAGAATACTACGAAAAGCTATATGCCAACAAAGTGGATAATTTAGAAGAAATGGATAAACTTTTAGAATCATACAATCTACCAAAACTGAATCAGGAAGAAATAGAGAATTTTAATAGACCAATCTCCAGTAAGGAGATTGAAGCAGTAATCAAAAACCTCTCCAAAAATAAAACTTCAGGACCAGATAGCTTCCTTGGTTAATTCTACCAAACATTCAAGGAAGACTTAATACCTATCCTTCTCAAATTCTTCCAAAAAATTGAAGAGGAGGGGACGCTTCCTAACTCATTCTATTAATCCAACATTACTCTGATACCAAAACCAGACAAAGACAAACCAAAAAGAGAAAATTACAGTCCAATATCACTCATGAAGATTGATGCAAATATCCTCAACAAAACACTAGCAAATCACATACAACAATACATTGAAAAGATCATACTCCGTGATCAAGTGGGATTTATTCCATGGATGCAGGGATGGCTCAACATCCACGAATCAATGTGATACACCACATTAGAAAAATGAAGGATAACAATCACATGATCATCTCGATAGATAAAGAGAAATCATTTGACAATATACAGAATTTTTATGATAAAAACTTCTGAACAAAACGGGTATAGAAGGAAAATACCTCAACGTAATAAAAGCCATATATGACAAATCCACATCTAATATCCTCCTCAACAATGAAAAACTGAAATCTATCCCTCTAAGAACAGTTACCAGACAAAGATGCCCACTTTCACCACTCCTATTTAACACAGTATTGGAAGTCCTCACCAGAGCAATCAGGCAAGAAATAGAAATAAAAGGGATCCAAATTGGAAAAGAAGTACAACTGTCACTATTTGCAGATGACATGATTTTATATATAGAAAACCCTAAAGAATCCACCAAAAAACATTTAGAAGTAATAAATGTATAAGGTAAAGTTGCAGGATACAAAATCAACATACAAAAATCAGTTGTGTTTCTATACAGTAACAACGAAGCAGCAGAGAGAGAAATTAAGAATACAATCTCATTTACAATTGCAACAAAAAGAATAAAATACCTAGGAATAAACTTAACCAAAGAGGTGAAAGATCTGTACACCGAAAACTATAAAACACTGCTGAAACAAATTGAGGAAGACACAAAGAAATGGAAAGATGTTCCATGATGCTGGATTGGAAGAATTAACATGATTAAGATGTCCATGCTTCGTAAAGCAATATATAGACTCAATGCAATCCCTATCAAACTTCCAACAACATTTCTCATAGAAATAGAGCAAAGAACTCTAAAATTTATATGGAACAACAAAAGACCCTAATAGCCAAACGAATTCTGAGAAAAAAGAACAAAGCTGGAGGTATCACACTCCCTGATTTCAAAATATACAACAAAAGTATAGTAATAAAAACAGCATGGTACTGGCACAAAAACAGACACACAGATCAATGGAACGGGATAGAGAGCCCAGAAATAAACCCACACATCTATGCACAGCTAATTTTTGACTAAGGAGGCAAGAACATATGATGGAGAAAGGAATGTCTCTTCAACTAATGGTGTTGGGAAAACTAGAAAGCCACATGAACAAAAATGAAAGTAGACCATTATCTTACACCCTACAAAAAAATTAACTCAAAATGGATTAAAGACTTGAAAGTAAGACCTGAAACCTTGAAACTTCTAGAGGAAAATATAGGAAGTATGATCTTCAACATCAGTATTAGCAACATATTTTCAAGTACCATGTCTGACCAGGCAAGAGAAAGAATAGAAAAAATAAACAAATGGAACTATATCAAACTAAGCAGCATCTGTACAGCAAAGGAAACCATGAACAAAATGAAAAGACAACCTAACAATTGGGAGAATATATTTGCAAACCCTATATCTGATAAGGGGTTAATCTCCAAAATACATAAAGAACATATAAATCTCAACAACAAAAAAACTAACAACACAATTTAAAAATAGGTAAAAGACGTGAACAGACGTTTCTCCAAAGAAGATATACAGATGGCCAACAGGCACATGAAAAGGTGTTCAAGATCATTAATTATCAGGGAAATGCAAATTAGAACTGCAATCAGATATCACCTCCTGCCTGTCAGAATGGCTATAATTAACAAGACAGGAAACATCAAGTGTTGGAGAGGATGTGAAGAGAAGGGAACGCTCATACACTGCTAGTACGAATGCAAACTGGATGCAGCCACTTTGTAAAACAGTATGAAGATTCCTCCAAAAATGAAAAATAGAACTACCATGTCATTCCGCTACTCCACTGCTGGGTATTTATCCAAAGAACATGAAAACATGAATATGTAAAGATACATGCACCCCTGTGTTCATTGCAGCATTATTCACAATAGCCAAGACTTGGAAGCAACCTAAGTGCCCATCAAGGGACAAGTGGATAAAGAAGATGTGGTATATATGCACAATGGAATATTCCTCAGCCATAAGAAATGGTGAAATCCAGCCATTTGTGACCACATGGATGGACATTGAGGGTATTATGCAAAGTGAAATAAGTCAGAGAGAGAAGGTCAAATACCATATGATTTCACTCATAAGTAGAAGATAAAAACAACAAACACATAAAGACAGAGATTGGATTGGTGGTTACCAGAGGGGAAGGGTGGAGGGATGAGGGCAAAAGGGATGATTAGGCACATGTATGTGGTGATGGATTGTAATTAGTATTTGGGTGGTGAACATGATGCAATCTATGCAGAAATAGAAGTATAATGATGTACACCTGAAATTTATACAATGTTATAAACCAATTTTACTGCAATAAAATAAAAATTTTTAAAAAAAGAATCAATCCAGAGAAGATTATGCCAAGACACATTATAATCAAATTCCCAAAAGCCAAAGACAAAGAGACAATTTTGTAAGCAGCAAGAGAAAAGCAAATTGTCACATACAAGGGAACACCCATGTGACTATCAGCACATTTCTCAGCAGAAATCTTGCAGTCCAAGGATGATATATTTAAACTATTGAAAGAAAAAATTGTCAACCATGAATACTATACCTAGCAAAACTGTCCTTCAGAAATGAAAGTGAGATAAAGACTTTCCCAGACAAACAAATGGTGAGGAAGTTCATCAACACTAGACCTTCCTTATTGAAATCCTAAAGGGGGTTATTCAAATTGAAATAAAAAGATGCTATATTAACATGAAAACATATGAAATTATAAAACTCATTGGTAATGGTAATTATACAGTCAAATTCAGAATACTCTAAATTGTAATGGTGGTGTATAAATCACTTTTAACTCTAGTATAAAAATTATAAGACAAACATATTAAAAATAACTATAGCTAAGAAATTTTGTTAATGGAGACATAACATAAAATATGTAAATTGTGATATCAATAACATAAAATGTGTGGAGAAGTAAAAGTGTAGTGTTTTGTGTGCAATTGAAGTCAAGTTGTTCTCAGCTTAAAATAGTCTTATAACTAATTGATGTTTTATGTAAGTCTCATGATAACCACAAAGACAAAACCTCTAGTAGATACACAAAAGATAAAGAGAAAAGAATCAAAGAATACCCCTACAAAAAAAAATCAAATCACAAAGGAAAAGGGCAAGAGAGGAGGAAGGGAACAAAGTTACTATGAAATAGTCAGAAAATAATTAACAAAGTAGAAATAGAAAGCACTTACCAATCAATATTTACTTTCATTGTTAATGGATTAAATTCTCTAATTAAAAACATACAGTGGCTGAATGTATAATAGAACAAGATCTAACAAAATGCTGCCTAGAAGAGACTCACTTTAGCTTTCAGAAAACACACAGGCTGAAAGTGAAGCAATCGAAAAAGATATTCATTGAAAATGGAAACCAAAAGAGAGCAGGATGACTATACCTGTGTCGGACAAAATAGGCTTTCAGTCAAAAATTGTCACAACGGACAAAGAAGATCATAATGTAATGATAAATGGATCAATTCACCAAGAGAATAACAATTGTAAATATATGTGCACCCATCATCAAAGTGTATTAAACAAATGTTAGAAGAAATGAATGGAGAAATAGTAATACAATAATATTAGAAGAGTTCAATATCCCAATTTCAATGATGTAAGATGTAAGATCATCCAGACAGAAAATCAATAATAAACAGCCAACTTGAATAACTCTATACGCCAAACTGATCTAACAGACATACGTAAGACATTCCATCCAAAGGCAGGAGGACATACATTCTTCTCAAGCAGGCATGTAACCTTCTCCAGGACAGATCATATATTAGGTCACAAAACAAGTCTTAACGAATTTTAAAAGACTGTAATCATATCAAATTTTTTGACAACCACAAGGGTATGAAACTACAAATTAATAATAGGAGGGAAATTGGAAATTTCACAATTATGTGGAAATTAAACATCACAATCCTGAACAACTAATAATTCACAGAGGAAATGAAAAGAGAAGTTAGAAAATATCTTAAGACAAATGAAAATGAGAACACAACATTACAAAACTTATGTGATGCAGCAGAGTCCATTCTAATAGCAATAAACGCCTAAGCTAAAAAAGAAGAGCTTAAAAACATCCTAAATTTACACCTGAAGCAGCTAGCAAAAGAACAAAGCCCAAAATTAGCAAAAGAAAGTAAATAGCAAAGATTAGAGTAGAAATAAATTAAATACAAAATAGGAAAGCAATAGAACAGATCAACAAAACTGAGAGTTGGTTTTTTGAAAAGATAAAAATATTGATAAATCCTTAGCTAGATTAAGAAAAAAGAGAACACTCAAATAAAATCACAAATGAAATGAGACATTACACCAGATATCACAGAAATAAAAAGGATCATAAGAAAATACTATGATCAGTTTTGTGCCAACAAACTCAGTAACCAAAAAGGAATGGTTAAATTCCTATAAACATACAACTTACCAAGACTGTGTCATGACAAATAGAAAGTGTGAACAGATGTATAACTAGTATGGAGATTGAATCAGGAATCAAAATCCTCCCAACATAGAAAAGCCCAAGACCAGATGGCTTCACAGGTGAATAATATCAAACATTTAAAAAAGAGATAATGCCAATCCTTCTCAAACTTTTCTCAAAAAAAATAAGATGAGGGAACATTTCCTAACTCATTTTATAATGCCAACATTATGCCGATACCAAAGTCAGACAATGACACCACCAGGAAAGAAAACTACAGGTCAATAATTCTTATGAACATAGATGCAAAAATCCTCAACTAAATACTATCAAAATAAATTTAACAGCACATTGAAAATATCATACACCATGATCAAGTGGGATTTATCCCTGGGACACAAGGATGTTTGAACATACATGAATCAACAAATCTGATACACCACATTAACAAAATGAAGGATGAAAAGAAATCATAGGATCATCTCAAGAGGTGTGGAAAAATTATTTGACAAAATTCAACATCAATTCATGATAAAAACTCAAAAAATTAGGTAGAGAAGGAATATACCACAACATAATAAAGGCAATATATATTAAGCCCATAGCTAACATACTCAATGGTGAAAAGCTAAAAGCTTTTTCTCTAATATCAGGAACAAGACAAGGATGCCCACTCTCACCACTTCTGTTCAAAATAGTACTGGAAGTCCTAGTCAGAGCAATTAGGCAAGAAAAAGAAATAAAAGTCATCCAAATAGAAAAGGAAGCAGTAAAATTATCTCTGTTTGCAGATGACATGGTCTTATACATAGGAAACCCTACAGATTCTCCCCAACTCTGTTAGAACTAATAAATGAATTCAGCAAAGTTACATGACAAAAACTCAACACACAAACTGGTTCAGTTTCTATACACTAATAATAAATTTTTTGAAAAAGAAATTAAGAAATCAATACCAGGGCTGGCCCGATGGTGTAGTGGTTAAGTTTGTGCACTCCACTTCGGCAGCCCGGGGTTCACAAGTTCAGATCCCTGGCATGGACCTATACACCACTGATCAAGCCATGCTGTGGCGGCATCCCACATACAAAGTAGAGGAAGATTGGCACAGATGTTAACTCAAAGACAATCTTCCTCAAGCAACAAGAAGAAGATTGGCAACAGATGTTAGCTCAGGGCTAATCTTCCTCACCAAAAAATATTTAGTTAATTAATTAATACTATTTACAATAGTGTTAAAGAGAATTAAATCTTAAGAATAAATATAACCAAGGATACAAAAGACTTGTACATGGAAAATTACAAAATGTTGTTGAAATAAATTTTTTAAAAAACATAGATAAATGGGAAAACATCCTTTGTTTATACATTGGACAACCTAATATTGTTAATATTCTGTCTTAGTCAGAGTTTTACAGAGAAACAGAACCAACAGAAGATATATAGACACATATATCAGTAGAGTTGTTATAGGAATTGGCTCATGCAATTATGGAGGCCAAGAAGTCCTATAATCTTCCATCTTCAAGCTGAAGAACCAGAAAAGCCAGTGGTATAATTCAGTCCAAGTCTGAAGGCCTGAGTACCAGGAGCATTGATGTCTGAGGGCAGAAGAAGATAGATGTCCCAGCTCAGGCAAAGATCAAATTCATCCTTCCTCTGCCTTTTTGTTCTATTCATTCCCTAATCTGATTGGTTGATGCCCACCTGCATTGGTGAGAACTATCTTCTTTACTCAGTCTACCAATTCAAATGCTAATCTCTTCCAGAATCACCCTTAGACATACCCAGGAATATTGTTTTACCACCTGTCTGGGCATTCATTGGGCCAGTTTAGTTGACACATAAAATTGACAATCACAGATGTCAGTATGACCCACATTGATGTACAAATTCAATGTAATGCCTATCAAAATCCCAACAGTATTTTTTGCAGAAATAGGATAATTCATCCTAATATTCATGCAGAATCTCAAGAGACTCTGAATAGCCAATACAATCTTGAAAAATAAAATCAAAATTAGAGGTCTCACATTCCTAATTACCTAACTTATTACAAAGCCACAGTAGTCAAAAACAGTGTGGTACTGGCATAAAGACAGACATAATAGACTGATGGAATAGAATAGAGCTCCCAGAATTTAACCACTACATATTTTGTAAAATAATTTTTGACAATTATGCCAAGACCATTCAATGGGGAAATGACAGTCTTTTTAACAAATGGCACTGGGAAAACTGGACATCCATATCCAAAATAATGAGGTTGGACCCTTACCTTAAACTATATAAAAAATTAATTTAAAATTGATTAAAGACCTAAATATAAGAGTTAAAACTATAAAACTCTTAGAAGTAAACGAAAGGGAAAAGCTTCATGACATTGAATTTGGCAATTGTTTCTTGGATAGTACACCAAAAGTAGAGGCAACAAAAGAAAAACTAGGTAAATTGGACTACTTCAAAATTAAAAACTTCTGTGAATCAAAGGACACAATCCACAGAGTGAAAAGGAAAGCCATGGAAACTTGAGAAAATATTTGTAAATTTTATATCTCATAAGAGGCTAATATCCAGAATATATAAAAAGTCCTATAACTCAACAACAACAACAAAATCTAATGACCCAAATAAAACATGGACAAATGTCTTGAATAGATATTTCTCCAAAAAAGATATGCAGTTGTTCCTCCCTATCCACAGGTTCCATATCCACGGATTCAAGCAACCACTGATCAAAAGGCCTACGATGGCTGCATCTGTACTGAACAAGTACAGACTTTCTTCTTGTCATTATTCTCTAAACAGTACAGTATAACAACTATTTACATAGCATTTACATTATATTAGCTATTACAAGTGATCTACAAATGATTTAAAGTATACAAGAGGATGTGCATGGGTTATATGCAAATACTATGCCATTTTATATAAAAGACTTGAGCATCTGTGGATTTTGGTATTTGCGGGGCGTCTTATAGCCAATTACCCGCTGATACTGGGGTATGACTGTATAAATGACCAATAATCACATGAAAAGATGTTCAACATCACTAATCATTTGGAAAATGAATATCAAAACCACAATGAGATACACCTCACACTTATTAGGATGGCTACCATTTAAAAAAAATCAGAAAGTAACAAGTGCTGACAAGGATGTGGAGAAATTGGAATCTTGTGCATTGTTGGTGGGGATGTAAAATGATGCAGATACTCTGGAAAAGAGTATGGATGTTCCTCAAAAATTAAAAATAGAATTACCATATGATTCAACAATTCCACTTCTAGGTATATGCCCCAAATATTGAAACCAGGGTCTTGAAGAGGTATCTATACACCTAGTTCATAATGGCATTATTTGCAGTAGCCAAAAGGTGGAATCAAAACAAATGACCATGAACAGATAAATGGATAAATAAAATGTAGTATATAATAAAGGAATATCATTCAGTCTTTAAAAAAAAGAAATTACAACATATGCTACAACATGGATGTAACTCAAGGTTATTATGTGAAATAAACCAGTCACAAAAAGACAAATATTGTATTATTCCACTTATATGAGGTACCTAGAATAGATAAATTGATAGAAATGGAAATTAGAATTGTAATTGTCAAGAGCTGAGTAAAACGGGGAATTATTGTTTAATGGGTAAAGAACTTGTTTTGCAAGATGTAAAGCATTCTGGAGATTGGTTGCACAACAATATGAATGTACTTAACACTACTGAGCCATACACTTAAAAAATGGTCAAGATGGTAAATTTTACGTTAGGTGCATTTTAACGCAATTGAGAATAAAATTTTTAAAAAGAAATTAGAAAAATGAGATGAAATTAACCCAAAGTAAGAAGAAAAATGAAAATAATAAGGCTCCAATTAGAAATATTTAAAATAGAAACAGTAAAGCAACAGAGATAAACTATGTAACTAAAAGCTGGTTCTTTGAGAATGACAATAAAATTGATAAACCTCTAGTCAGACTTATCACAAAAAAAGAATGAGGGTACAAATAACAAATATTAGGAATGATACCTTATGTCATGAGTGATCCTACAGATATTAAAAGGATAATTAGAAAATATTATCAAAATTTTATGCCAATAAATTCAACAATTCATATGAAATTGATAAATTCCTTGAAAGACTCATATTGCCAAAAACGAAATTGATAACATGAATCATCCTGTATCTATTAAGCAATTTGAAATTTTAATTAATAACCATTTTACAAAGAGAATTTCACATTCATCCAAATACCTTCATCTCAATAAATACAGAAAAAGCATTAGACAAAATATAATATCCAGTCCTGATTTCTAAAAAAATTCTCAGCAACTAGGAATTGAAGGGAACTTTCTCAACCTGATAAAGAGCATCTGTGAAAAACCTACAGCTGCCATCATACCTGAGTGGTAAAAGACTGAATGATTTCAACTAAGAAAAGGAACAAGAGAGGGAAATGCACTCTCACTTCTATTCAACATTGTACTGAGGATTATAGCCAATGTATTCAGACAAGGAAAAAAAAATAAGAAGCATCTAGATTGAAATGAAAAAAGTAAAACTATCTTAATTTGCAGATGAAATGATCATCTATGTAGAAAATCTGATAAAATCTACTTAAGAGCTACTAGAACTAAGAAATGACTTTAGAACTAATAAATGCAGGATACAAGATCTGTATACAAAAACCAATTATATACCTATATACTTACAATAAATTTGCAACTGATATTTTAGAAAATAATTAAAATAGCAAAAATAAATATAAAATACTTAGGGATAAATCTGCAAAAAAGGTAAAATGCCTGTATAGAGAAAACTATAAAATATTACTGAAATAAATTAAAGATCACTCAAGCAAATGGGGAGAAATAACTTGTTTCTGGGTCAAAAGACTCAATATTATATAAATATAAATTCATACCACATTCTCTTAAGGTAATCCCAACCAAATTTGCAGTAGGGTTTATTGTATAAATTTAAAAACAGATTCTAAAATTCAAATGGACATGCAAAGTACATAGAATAGCCAAAACAACATTGTAAAAGAAGAATTAAATTGGTAGACTAACATTACATGTTAGTAAGACATAAAATTACAGTTATCAAAATGGTGTAGTATTGGGGTAAATTCAATGGAATAGAAGAGAAAGTTCAGAAATAAACCATGACATGTATGGAAAACTAATTTTTTGACTAAGATGTAAGGCAGTGGAATAGAGAACGAATAGTCCTTAGAACAAATTATGCAGTAATATTTTAATAGACATATGCAAAAAATTGAATTTATATCCATACGTTGCATCATATGCAACAATGAACACATAATGGACACACAGACTTTAAGGTGAATCTTAAAATTATAAAACTTCTAGGATAAATCAAAAGAGGACAGTTTAGTGGCTTTGAATTAGGCAAAGATTTTATACATACAACATCAAAAGCACAATCATAAAAAAACAAATTGAAAAATAGAACTTCAAAAATAAAAATGTCTTCTCTTTGAAAGACATTGTTAAGAAAATGAAAAGAGAAGCCATATACCAGGAGAAAATGTTTTCAAAATACATATCTGATGAAGAACTTGTATACAGAATACATAAAGAACTCTCAAAGCTCAATAATAACTTCTATTTACAGATAAGTTGTAGCAACAGGGGTCAGATTTACCCTGTAACATGAAAAAATCAAAATACAAGGTTCAATAGTGCTTAGGGAAATGCAAACAAAAACCATAAAGAGATACTATTACACATGTATTATAATGAATAAAATAATAAAGGTTGACCATACCAAGTATTGGCAAGGATGAGGAGGGACTGGGACTTTCATACATTGCTGGTAGCAATGTAAAACAGTAAAACCAATTTGGAAAACAGTTTGGCAGTTTAAAAATTAATAAACTTGCATCTAATATAGGATTCAGCCATATTGCACTCCTACATATATACCCAAAAGAAAAGGAAATATATGTCCATAGAAAGAATTGTAGGGAATGTTCACAAAAGATTTATTTGTATTAGCCAAAAACTGGAAAATAAAACAAGCGTCCTTCAAGAGATAAATGCAAAAACAAATTATGTTGTATATATGCAACGAAATATTTACTTTATTACTCAGCAATAAAATAAATGAACTATTGATAAATGCAAGAACATACATGAATTTTAAAGTAATTATGCTAAGCAAAAGAAACCAGGAAAAATAATATATACTGTAGGATTCAATTATACAAAATACTGAAACATGCAAACAGGGAGAAGATCAGTCCTTTGCGGGGAGGGGAAGAGGTGAGAGAAAGTAATTATAAGGGGCACATGAAAACCTTTGGGAATGAAAGAAATGTTCACAATATCTTGATTTGATATTTGTTTCATGGGTGTATAAATATGCCAAAACATCAAACTGTGCACTTTAAATATGTGCAATTTATAATATGTCAATATTACTTCAATAAATTTCTTTATTAAAAGATTAGAATAGAAAATAATCAATGAAATAAAAAAAGCTGATTTTTTGACAAAATGAATAAAATTGATAATTCTCTAGCCAAGTTCAACAAGAGAAAAGGAGAGAAGACACAAATTATGAACACGAGGTATGAAAAAGGGGACATTACCACTGATCCCACATTATAAGTTTAATAAAAGAACACTATTAACAATACTATGCCAATAAATAGACAACTTAGATAAAATTGATCAAATTTTTGAGAGACGCAAACTACCAAAATTGATTCAAGAAGAAGTAGATCAGACAGTGATGTCAGCAAGAAGGCAGAATATGAATTTTCTACCATCTTACCCCCCAAGAACGTAGATTTTGACAATCACCCACGGACAAGGGTGCCTTTATAGGAGCCCAGGAGTCCAGCAGAGAAGTTCCAGCACACTACTGGTGCAAAATATCTGAGATGGAACACGATGAAGAGGGTAAGAGTATCAGGTTCACTTCACCCACATCACCCCTTCCCTAAGGCAGCACAGCTCAGTGCCAAAAGAGAGCCCCTCAGACTGTGATTTCTCCCATGGGGGAAAGTGAGAGCTTAGTGAGTGAACAATCAGTTTCCCCAGTTGCGCAAGACACTGCCAAAGAGTCTACTTCTTTCTCACCCCATCCAGAATACTGAGGTGATCTGCATATTTTGAGGGTGGGGAGAAACTGAGAGCACAGCATCCAGGGCTTGAAATTCATCAAAGAAACACAGATTTTACTAACTGATTCACAAACCCCATCAGGAATCATGCCCATGAGCTTCTGAGGATGCTTCACTTTGAGGTACACCACAACTGGCCCACAGGCACCCCTAATGGTGTGCACACCTCAACCAAACACCATGCCACTGTGACTGGCTCTTTATGTGCACCCCCATGAGCAGTGTGTGTGAGCCTTTGTAGACAGTGTGAGTATGAGCACGTGCAGAAAGCCAGCCCAACTCTGCAGGATTGGAAGAAAGCATACAAGCTTGAGCATTCATCACAGCCATACAGAAAGCAAACAGGAGACTGTCAGCACCAAGCCAGACTTTGCAGGATCAAGAAAAGGCATACAATCTTAAGAATTCACCCACAAGAAGGAACAAAAAGTGTGCAACAGGCACATCCATAGAAAAGGTCTGAGAAAGCTTCAGAATCCCTAGCAGGGCTGACAGGTGAAGTTATTTCTCTCACAAAGATAGTCAATAAAGACTAGAGGAGGCGACTGCTGTTTCAAATGCAAAGACAGTAAAGACTCTGAGGAACACAAAAAATCAAGGAAACATGACACCACCAATGGAACACAATAGTTCTCCAGTAAGTGACCCCCCAAACTGGAGATCTTCTAACTTGCCTGACAGAGAATTCAAAATAATTGTTTTCAGGAAACTCAATGAGCTACAAGAAAAGACAGAAAGACAACTCAAAGAAATCAGGAAAATAATACATGAGCAAATGAGAAGTTTAACAGAGGGATTAATCATAAAAAGGAATCAAACAGAAATTCTGGAGCTGGAAAATACAATGAATGAAATGAAAAATGCACTTGAGAGTGACAATAGCAGAATGGATCTAGCAGAAGAAAGACTTTATCTGTGAAGTAGAAGACAGGTCATTTGAAATTATCCATACAGAGGATAACAAAGAAAAAGGAGTGAAAAAGAGTGAAGAAAGCCTGCATGACCTATGGGATACCATCGAGAAAGACAATTTATGCATTATGGAATTTCCAAAGGAGAAGGGAAGGAGAAAGGAGGAGAAAGATTATTTAAAGAAATAATGGCTGCAACTTCCCAAATCTCAGGAGATATATGGACATCCAAACACATGAAGCTCCTAGGTCCCCAAAAAGATTCACCCAAAGAGATCTTCTCCAAGAGAAATTATAATAAAGCTGTCTAAAATCAAAGACAAAGAGAGAATTCTGAAAAAAAATCAAGAGAAAAAGATTATCACATACAAGGAAAACTCCTTAGGGCTATAAGTGGATTTCTCAACAGAAATCTTGCAAACCAGGAGTGGGATAATATATTGAAAGTACTAAAAGAAAAAAACTGTCAACCAAGAATACTTTACCCCACAAAATTATCCTTCAGAACTGAAGGAGAATTAAAGACTTTCCCAGACAAACAAAAGCTCAGGGAGCTCATTACAACTAGACACACCACACAGGAAATGCTGACAGGAGTTCTTCCAGCTGAAATGAAAGGACACCAATTAGTAACATTAAAACATATGAAAGTATAAAACACAATAGTAAAGCTAGATAGTCAAATTCAGAATATTGTAATGGTGGTGTGTAAATCACTTACCACTAGTATAAAGGTTAAAAGATGAAAATATTAAAAATAACTGTAGCTACAATAATTTATTGGATACACAATATAAACACATGTAAATTGTGACATCAAAAACATATATCATGGGAGAGTAAAAGGTTAGAGTTTTTCTGTGTAATAAAAGTTATCAGCATAAAATAGACCATTATATTTGTAAGATGTTTTATATAAGCCTCATGGTAACCAAAAAGCAAAACCTACAATAGGTATACAAAACATAAAGACTCAAAGCATACCACTACAGAAAATCATGAATTCACAAAGGAAGACAACCAGAAAGAAGAAAAGGTACAAGGGAACTACAAAATATCCAGAAAGCAACTAACAAGAAAAGATGGCACTAGTAAGTCCTTACATATCAATAATTACTCTACACGTAAATGTATTAAATTCTCCAATCAAAACGCAAAGAGTAGCTGAATGGATTAAAAAAAAACAACAAGACCCAACTATATGCTGCCTACAAGAAGCACACTTTAGCTTTAAGGACACTCATAGGCTCAAAGCAAAGAGCTAGAAAAAGATACTTCATGCAAGTGGCAAACAAGAGAGAGCATGGGTAGCTATACTTACATCAGACAAAATAAACATTAAACCAAAAAGAGTAACAAAAGACAAAGAAGGTCATTATTTAATGGTAAAGGGGTCAAGTCATCAAAAGGATATAACAATTGTAAATATATATACCCTACATCAAAGCACCTAATCATATTAAGCAAATACTAATAGATTTGAAGGCAGAAATAGACAACAATAAAATAATAGTAGGGGAATTCAGTACTCTCTTTCAACAATGGATAGATCATCCAAACAGAAAATCAACAAGGAAAAGTTGAACTTGAAGCATACTTTAGACCAAATGGGCTTAACAGACACATACAGAACATTCCATCCAACAGCAGCAGAATACACATTCTTCTCAGGCACAGTTGGAACATTCTTCAGGATAGATCATTTGATAGGGCACAAAACAAGTCTTAGCAAGATTGAAGTAATGTTAAGTATCTTTTCCAACCACAATGGTATGAAATTAGAAATAAACAGCAGGAGGATAACTGGAAAATTCACAAAAACATTATCTGAAAGAGAAATTAAGAAAACAATGCCATTTACAATTGCATCAAAAACAATAAAATATTTAGGAATAAATTTAACTAAGGAAGTGAAAGATCTGTACACTGAAAACTATAAGACTTTGATGAAAGAACTTGAAGAAGAAACAAGTAAATGGAAAGATATCCTGTGCTCATGGATGGGAAAAATTAATACTGCTCAAATGTCCATACTAGCTAAAGCCATCTAAAAATTCAACAGAATCCCTATCAAAATTCCAATGGCATTTTTCACAGAAATAGAAAAAAACATATCCAAAATTTGTATGGAACCACAAAAAAAAGAAAACTTATAGCCAAAGCAATCCTGAGAAAAAAGAATAAATCTGGAGGCATTACAGTGCCTGATTTCAAGCTATATTACAAAGCTATAGTAATCAAACCAGTATGGTACTGGGATAAAAATAGACACATCGACCAATAGATGTTACTTACAGCCAGAGTTACTTATTTCCTCCGTGTTGCGTTCATAGCACCTTATATACCTCCACTAGACCCTTCCTGCCATTAAATTGTAAATATTTGTTCACTACACTTGTCTTCCACGTTAGATTGTGGCTCTTTGAAAGTAAGGACTGTGTGTCCTTATACTGCTAGATTCTAATGGAGTATCTGGCAAAGAGTAGCCACTCAGTAAGTATTTGGTAAATGAATGATTAAAGGAAGCTTTTATAATAAGACTAAGTTTTTTAAAGATACTAATTGCAATTATATAAATAAATATATGTGTAGGTAAAGTTAATTTGGCAGAATGTAAATAGAGTTTTCTGTTAATTCATACTTTTGTTCTATACAAACCTGTTTATCTTCATTTTAAACAATTAATAGACCAGCCAAGTCTCCAAAGAGCAAGAAGACCTATGTATGAGGTATGATAAAGATTATTCTAGCTTGAAGGGAAAAAATGATGGATGGAATATCTAATAGCCAAAGTAGAGTGTCACCTTTAATAGCTACCTACTGAATTTCAGGGAATATTTGTTATATCCAAATAAGAAGGAAAGACAATGACATTCTCTAACATAAAAATCCAAACCACATTTGTAATTAAATACTGGCAATATCAATCTACAAACATTTTATCTCTTTCAGCTTGAAACATCTCAATCTTTTCCTTTAGAAAAGTCTGAGTGTACTCTCACTTATTCGATATATCATAGCAGAACATTTTCAAATCTTCTTAATATTTGCAAAATATTTATTTTACTTTGGCAGTGAATACATGACTTTATAGAATAAAACCATAGGTATAAACAATCATAATGACTAAATGGGTTGTACAGAAGATTAAGAAACTGATCGAGACATTTTGATCCTTGTGACTTGATGAGAACACTTTCTTTATTCATTCAATAATCACTTACTAAGTAGCTGTTGTGTGTCAGAAATGTTTAATGAATGCATGAGATTTCAACAAAAGGGAAAAAAAGATACTCTAGATAAAAAACATACCATTTAAATAATACGAGTTTTAAACAAGCATGAAATACTTGGGGAGCTAAGTTTAGGGACTGATGCATAAGTTCCACGTGGCGGACAAGACTAAAAAAGTAATTCTGCACCATTTCGTGAAAGCAATTGAGAAGTTGAAGAAACTTTTGAGAGAAAATAAAGGGTCTTATTTTAAGATCTCTGTTGGATCTCTTCCAGTCTACTAACAGCTTTCTATGCACACCCAAATTCTCCTGGTTTTGTGATGAATGGATGATAAATACACAGAACTAAGTTCAACTGAGTTAATGGAAGATATAACTAAATATTAAGACAGATTTCTCCTACCTTAAAACTGAACCTCTCTTTGTAGACCTGAGTAAATTACCAATGAGAGAAAGTTCACCCTTGAAAAAATTATGATGCTGCCCCCTGAAGAAGTATAAACATGTCTGGACAATATTTACAGCTCATAAATCCAGCTGCAGGTAGAAATCTAGCTGATTCTTTTCAAAAATACAAACAATGCTAGTCAGTACAGCATCTCTTTGTAAAAAGGGAAACAAGTTAAAAGAGTGATTCAATTTCCAAGAAGCCTGCTATGCTTAGTCCATTAGTTCAGAGAGGGCCACTACCTCAGAAAGCGGGTTCCACAGATGATCCACATGTTATGGAAGCTTTCTTTGGCCACCAGGAATGCTCTCAGTTTCCATTCCAGAAGAAACAGGAATGTGCAAAGATGTAAAGCATCAACACAAGAACTTCTATAATTCCACATGTAAATATTTCTATAAGAATGCTGGAAGCATTAAAAATAGTACCCTTTCCTTAATGTCTAGCTCAAATGTAATCTTTCCACAAAGACTATGCTAATTACTGATGCAGAAGTGATTTCTCCTACCTCAGAACTCCTCTGGTACTAGGATCACATACTGCCTTAAATTGAGATTATTTTTGGACATATATTATATCTTCTGGCATGGTACCCCACACATAATAGGCTCTCAATTATTTCACTAATGATTAAATGAATTACAGCATCATGGAACTGTAGAGTTAAATGGATCTTTAAAAGTCAAAGGCTCAACCTTCTACCACACACAAATGAATTTGCTCTACATTAGTGATCACTCACCAAATATTTATTTACTACCTTCTATGTGCAGGCACTGTGCAAAGGCTGGGAGTATACTACTGAAACAAAAGGTGGCATGTCACCTGGTCTCATAAAACTTATGAGCTGGGAGTTTGTGGTAAATAGAAAACAAACAAGTAAACACAAAGATCATAATAAATTGTGAAAAGTACTACAGAAAAAAAAATAGGATGTTCCACTACATAATAATGGATTGTGGTGGGGATAGATATTTAAAATAGAGTCATTAGAGAAAGTCTTCTCTAAGGAGGCAAAATCTAAAGGATGAGAAGGAGCCAGCTATATAAAGATCTAGGGGAAAAGCATTCTTGACAGAGTGAACAGTAAGTATGAAGATATGGTAAGAGCTTGGTTGGTTTGGGCAAAGTTGGCACACAATGAGTAAGGGAGAAAATAATACAAGATTAAGTTGGAAAGGGAGGCAATGACTACTTATAGGACTTCAGAGCCTTTGGTTACGAGTTTGGGTTTTA